GTTGCCGACGATCGCTATCGGGACGCTGCGCCGCCGCAAATAACACCACTCCGCGCGCCAATAACAACGAGGATGTCGACGATGATACATCCGATGTTCAGCGAATATTATCGCATCATTGGAGCGCGACCACCAGCACGACTACCGTCGTCAAACGAGTAATTTACCCGTCGGCACGTCGCGACGCAATGGCGTATCGATCGCGGCGACGACGGCGGCGGCGACGGTGGCGGTGGCGGTGGCGGTGGCGGTGGCGGTGGCGGTGGCGGTGGCGGTGGCGGTGGCAGTGGCAGTGGTAGTGGTAGTGGCGGTGGTAGTGGCACAGTGGCAGTGGTATGGTAGTGTCGGTGGTAACGGAACACGCACTGACAAACAAGTGTGGACGAGACAACCGATATCGGACTCGGACACTTGCAAGAAAATTGATTAACTTGCATATTTTTTTTCAGCGTCACGAGAGATGCTGATAATGATGTTTGTTTCGATTCTAGAGGAGACGTACAAGCGAATGGACACATCCACCGATGATGTGAATGCACGAATTCTCCATCGCGAATATATATATTTTCTTTTTTTTATCTTTCTTAATTTCTTCATTTATGCGTAGACACTAATAAGCGACGACAGACTTCCGCGATGTGTACATATACCTATGCGTTTCGCGCAAATTCTTTCTCATCCCTCGCGCTTTCATCGTGCACGACGACCTGTATATTGTAGATATTGCGTGGCTCTCGCTCTATCCGTACTTTTCTCGCATTTCCATTTTGCAGTCTTTTTTGCTCTCATGTGCGAGCAGAGGAGTCCTGATCTTTTAGCTCTTTTCCTCTCTCTTTCTCTTTCTCTTCCTCTCTCAATGCGTTGTCCACGAACGAGACTAGTTTCCATAGACATAGTATATCTAGACCGAGCGTTTGCCTTTATTTAAGGAGTGGGAGTAAATATACGCGTAGAAAAGGACATACTCTGTTTCGTGCCCCTTGCGTTCTCTCTCGCTCGCACGTAGCATGACGAAAGAGAGCGCTATGCTCTGTGCGAGCGAGAAAGAACGCAAGGGGCACGAAACAGAGTATGTCCTTTTCTACGTGTATCTTTACCACCACTCCTTAAATAAAGGCAAACGCTCGGTCTAGATATACTATGTCTATGTATGATCCTAAATAGAATATATCTCTGATGATATCGGTAGACGTAGACGTAGACCCATTATTTGGGAAGAAATAAAAAATATGAGAGAAAACAAATGATATAAAGATTGAAACTTTCTCTTTTTTCAAGTTAATATTTTATAATATTTTATCGCAAATTATTCAAATAATCGGCAAGAATCGTGTACAGCGATCTTGAATTGTATTTATTTTTGCGACTGTCAAATCCGAAAAGGAATCATCTAAAATCTAAAGAATCTCATAGAAAGTAACTTCTTTAGAAAACGCGACTGATTATATAATAATCGAAAAAATGCGGAAGATGCGAAGAAAAAGTTTTCTTTGATAAAATCGAGTTAACAACTGATTGCGCAGTGAAATGTGAACCGGTCAATAGGAGCAAGATGAAGTTCTATATCATTTGCGTGATTGCTTTCATCGCATTATCGATAAAAATGATAAAGAGGATTATAATTTTCTCCATTCTAATCTAATAACGCAATCCAATTATTACATAACGATTCGTCGACGAATCATTTTACACTATTAAGCTCGTATCACTATAAACTATGCATTGAAGATTGAGATTGAAGATTGAAATTTGACCAATCAGAAGAAAGAAATGTTAGCTTCTTTTATTCTAATTAGTCAAATTCTAATCTCTAATTTTCAATGGGTAGTCTGATACGGGCTTTACTTTTTTTGCAATGTAAAGGATGAATATATATATGTAACGTAGGTTGGCTACAAAAATGGTGAATTAGACTCTCGCTCAAGTGTCTCTATCACAGCTGTTCCGCTGTATCAGAGCGGTGCTGTTTGACAGATCGGCTTTCTAATCGGTCTCTCTCTCCATGGAGAATCAAAACCAAATAAAACTCGGATAGCAAGATTTCCGTACCATATTTTTCGTTAGAATCGTCAGACGCGACGAATTTGCGCGGATTATGCGTTATATACGTCAATCAACATTGATGGATGTCTGAATTAATGTCGAAAGATTAATATAATATGCAGCCGTTCGGCAGTAAACGGATGACATGAGACGTGCGTGTACCGTGATGAGGAACTGCGATATTATTAAGCATCGGGTGGGATACTTGCCGTTAGCGAAAACGAAAAATGTTCGTCAGAGATCCCTGTGGCATCATATGCATCATCGTCACCTACATAGCGGTGTTTTATGCGGATTATGTTGTAGTACGATGGATCGTGTTGCATACTATGCAAGACAGGTTCGTATAGCAAGTTTCATGGCAAGAGAGAGAGAAAATAAATATTTAAATATCTTCAAACAGTCGTGTGATATTATATCATACTTCACGTAACACATCCTTAAATTTGGCTTATTAAAATATAAATAAATATAGAATATTTGAATAATTTTAAAATCTTTAAGATTTTATACAAATTATTAATATTATAAATTGAAAGAAAATATTCAAATGCTAAAAAAAAAAAAATATATAATTCTATTAAAAGTATCTAAATAATATACTTTATATATTCCTTTTTTTTAATTAAAAATAACTAAATTAGAACTAAAGCATTATACTTCCTAGATTTGTGTAAAATATCTCGTAAAATATAGCACTTTTATAATCTATATTTAGATATTATTTTTAACATAACATTATTTTATTATTCTCTCCTAGCTTATGGGGCCCATTCCATGTAGTAGCATTCAACACTGTTGTACTTCTTTTAATGATGGCACACTTGAAAGCTGTCTGTAGCGATCCTGGTATAGTACCCTTACCACAAAATAGAATGGACTTTTCCGATATTCATGCTTCTGGAGGTAGTGAAGATCATGAAGGCGATGAAAAGGACGATTGGACAGTATGCACTAGATGCGAAACATATAGGCCACCTAGAGCGCATCACTGTAGAATTTGCAAACGTTGCATCAGGAGAATGGATCATCATTGTCCATGGTAATCATGAACTTCTATGATGGAATAATAATAATATATAAAGATTTATGTAATAGCAACATTAATACAGTCCTTATAAATACTAATCTCCATTATAATATATATTAGATAAGATTTATATATTATTGAATAATAAATAAACTCTAATATAATTGAATTTTTAAGGATCAATAATTGTGTCGGCGAGAGGAATCAAAAATACTTTATACAATTTCTGGTATATGTTGGTGCATTAGCTATATATGCTATTATTTTAGTTATTGTGTCATGGATTTATGACTGCCCGCAATGCAATAATGATATTGCAATCAAGCAAAATCGCATGTACGTACCTGTATACTTACAGAGATGCTCTATGAAAACTAAAAAGCTCATATATTGATATGTATTGCAGTTTACATTGTGTGATATTAGTTTTGGAGTCCGCATTGTTTGGTATGTTTGTCATAGCGATTCTGGTGGATCAGTTTCAAGCGATTCTAGGTGATGAAACCGCTGTGGAACGAGTACAAGGTATACAACAGCGTTATCACAATAAGAATACACCACGGACATTTACACTTTTGTCCCAAGTATGTGGCAAGAGCCATCCTATATTTTGGTTGTTGCCTTGCCACAATCCACCGCGTTATTCCTTCAGGAAGGATGCGTATTTAATCGACCACGAAGTTTGAGATTAGACAGAAGAGTGTATTATATCTGCACAGTATTTCTTTTCTTTGTATTATTTTTTTATACAATTTATTAGTGATTCTTTCTTCTTAGATTATTAACTTAATATGCCTTTGTGCATGAATTATATATTGACATTATTATAGATTTGAGACTTGTAGCTATAATTTTTCTACGGCGCAAAAATAAAATATTTATATATCCTACCTCTGTAAAGAACTCCATCATCATTATTATTATCATATAATAAGATGATTAATACATAAACTGTAAACAAACAATAGCTTTAATTAATATTGTTTATGTTGAAACATATGTGGTAACAATATACACGTGGAAATGTAATCTATATTTTTTTTATGTTAATAAACTAATTTTTTTATCTTTTAAAGTTGAGATATCTAAGAATGAGTGACTTCAAGTGATATACAAGAATGTCAGTTCTTTAATTTAAAACAATTATTGCTGAAAATCTTTATTCTTGCCTAATAATTTTTATTTGCTGCAAGAATTGTATTGTGTATTAGTATCTTAGAAAATAAAATTGTTATTAACTTTAAAAGAAATTTATTATTAAATAATAATTAATACAATTTTTATGATTCTAATATGTTTTATCATATATAACATTAGGCGTACGGCTTGCAGGGTAAAACACTAGCGAAATTTACGATTCTGCGGTTTGTTGATGAGTTTTGTTACAAGATATTGATACGTGCACGATTTTCAAACGCGAAAGACTACACCGAATATGCGAACAGATACAACATCTGCACACCGACAAATCCCACAACGTTAACGGTGCGAATAGCAGGCATCAGAGAGGTACATAATTACATATCGAACAATGTAAGCTTCAATTGAGTTTATTATCAAAACTTCAACAATTAGTTTCAATAATAGACATAACACATTAATATTATATTTTGCGTTAGTAGCTTAATACAATCTTTGTGTTTTCATATTTTATCATGTTTAGAAACAATAAATGCATAATGAAAAGTACGAAATAATATAATTTAAAAGTTTATAAGTTTATTCATGATACACATAAATGTTATTAAACTTAAAAAAATTTGATATTACCGATTTTATTCTTATAAATCCGAATTATATATAAATATATAAAAATTTTATATATATTATATTAATATAAAAGCTCAATTTGTTTTATAAGTGTCATATAAAATAATTGCTTGGCAGAAGAAAATATCAAGAAACGTGTAACAAATATCTGCCCACATCATTTTTAAAATTTAAAAATTATGTAGCATTTATCGTGAAAGATTACATATATCTATGCATAATTTCTTTGTTAAAAGTTAAATTTAATACTAAAACTATAAAATATTATTTAAGGGATAATTAGAGATGAAGCAATGTAATTGATTTGTATGCGAGTCGTTTGTTAATTATGTACTTCTCATTTAATGAGCAAAAAAATAGATGCTTGATAGCTGCGTGAACTAAGAATATATCTGAACATGGTATATATACTATTAATTAGAGGACAAGCGATGAGATTAGCGGTAAAGAAAGGAAGATCTTAATAATAAACAAATATAATATAATTATGCATTGAAAATAGATAATTTAAAATTTTAAATATTTCATCACATTGATTATTTTAATCAAGTTTTAAAATTATATTATTTCGTAAAATTTCCACGGAGTTACTTTTATCGGATTAATATGTCGGATACAAAAAATGAGTTATCAAAGATTTCTTTGATAACATGCATTTTTATTGAGTAGTGCTTTAATGTATTGGAGAGAATACGATGGATCGCTCGTTTAACATGCGCATTTTGAATTTAAAAATATAGCTTACACTACTTTGTAAAATAATTGAACCAAGATTTTCAACCAAAAAACGAAAAATATCGCGCGAGCGAGTTTATCTCTATCTCCCTCCTCTTTTCCTTTTTCTGTTTTTAAGAGATGATTATCGAAATTGCGAGAATGAGGTATATGAAAATACATGGCATATTTTTCTGCCCATGTGTGGCCAGGTGTTAATTTTACTCACGAAGAAGAGCAAGAAGAACTCGCGAAAAAAACGGATAGAATGGTTACGACTACTCCTTCGAATCTGATTTGAACGAAACGAGTAATAATTACTGAAGCTGGCGTACGGCTTGCAGGGTAAAACACTAGCGAAATATACGATTCTGCGGTTTGTTGATGAGTTTTGTTACAAGGTGTTGATACGTGCACGATTTTCAAACGCGAAAGACTACACCGAATATGCGAACAGATACAACATCTGCACACCGACAAATCCCACAACGTTAACGGTGCGAATAGCAGGCATCAGAGAGGTACATAATTACATATCGAACAATGTAAGCTTCAATTGAGTTTATTATCAAAACTTCAACAATTAGTTTCAATAATAGACATAACACATTAATATTATATTTTGCGTTAGTAGCTTAATACAATCTTTGTGTTTTCATATTTTATCATGTTTAGAAACAATAAATGCATAATGAAAAGTACGAAATAATATAATTTAAAAGTTTATTCAAAAAAAGATGATACACATAAATGATATCTCGTCGGTGGTACTGATCGAAACGGTCATCATTTTGAATTCCGCCTCTTTTCTACTAGAATTCTAATAATCAGAAAGGCAACAATAGCGTCTCGCTTGCGCTGACCGCCATTGGTCCCGTAGTGAATAGTGAATCCTACGTGCAAACTTACCGCAACCGGCGTACTATACGTGAGAAAAAAGTATATTTGTAATGTTATTTTCTAAAAAAAAAAAAAACATTTAAAATATCTCTGAGACATTTTTAAGACATTTTAGATTTACAAATGGACAGCTGCGGGCCCAACATGGCGATCATGGCAAGCATGGAGGGGGTAACGATGTCGCCTCTGATTATTTAGGACTCTATTTTCTACCCTTCAATCTTTTGTTTTTATGAAATTTTTCCTTAAGGGGAAGTTCCCACTGAGCGCGTCACGCGTCGCGTCATGCGTCGCGTTACGAGGTAGCCAATCAGAACGTCTGTTTTATTGCATCATCTCCGATGCGACCTTCTTGCGCGACGCGTCGGTTTGGTTCGTTTGGTTGCTCGACTTTCTCGCGTTTGCCATTGCTGGTCATGACCACCATGTCTCGCCAGTGATATAATCACAGATTAATAGACAGATAGCCAAAGGCCCGGATGAAGGCGAGACCAGCATTTCTCACTGGTTTCAGCGCCATACCGTAGTAATGGCCAAAGCAGTAATTACGTTCCCAAGGTAAAGTCGCGTTGTTAATACGACGGTAATAAATTGACTATTTAATCAAAAACATTAAAAATTATTTACATTAAAATTTCTGTCTTTCTTCAATATCCACGTGTAAGTGGAAAGCAAGGAGGAATAGGAGTTTTATGTTTTAGAAATGTTTTAGAAAAACTGCTTTTTTAATGATTATTTAATAATTATTTATTATTAATTAGTTACAATTTAAGGGGATCCAAAAGCTTATCTGTTTTACCGACCATAATAATTAATATTTGCTTAATATAAAAGGAGAGTGCTAATAATTACAAACAAAGACTGCTAATAATTACAAACAGACTGAAAACTACAAGTGTGATTGGCTGTTTGTCGACTACAGCGCCCGGGTGTGTGTGAGCGGTGTAAGATAAGTGAGGACCGCGTGCGGACGCCATTCGGTGTTTGGCCTTCGAGTCGTTAAGGTGATCCAAAAGTGACGGCCGAACTCCAACGGGTTAGCGCCCTCATCTAAGCGTAACAGGGATCGCTCGTTTAACATGCGCATTTTGAATTTAAAAGTTCCAATCTTCTTTCATACAAATATAGCTTGCACTACTTTGTAAAATAATTGAACCAAGATTTTCAACCAAAAAACGAAAAATATCGCGCGAGCGAGTTTATCTCTATCTCCCTCCTCTTTTCCTTTTTCTGTTTTTAAGAGATGATTATCGAAATTGCGAGAATGAGGTATATGAAAATACATGGCATATTTTTCTGCCCATGTGTGGCCAGGTGTTAATTTTACTCACGAAGAAGAGCAAGAAGAACTCGCGAAAAAAACGGATAGAATGGTTACGACTACTCCTTCGAATCTGATTTGAACGAAACGAGTAATAATTACTGAAGCTGGCGTACGGCTTGCAGGGTAAAACACTAGCGAAATTTACGATTCTGCGGTTTGTTGATGAGTTTTGTTACAAGGTGTTGATACGTGCACGATTTTCAAACGCGAAAGACTACACCGAATATGCGAACAGATACAACATCTGCACACCGACAAATCCCACAACGTTAACGGTGCGAATAGCAGGCATCAGAGAGGTACATAATTACATATCGAACAATGTAAGCTTCAATTGAGTTTATTATCAAAACTTCAACAATTAGTTTCAATAATAGACACCTCTTTCACTTCTATCACACCTTTATCCTTCCTTCTTTTCACCTGCTATATTCTATTTCTACTGCCCGTTTCCGTATCGATGTCCACTAACTCCCTACGTGCTCGATCCTAGTTCCTTACCTACACTCGGCGCCACCTTTTCTCATTCAACTCTCCTCGTTCCTTTGTGCCCTATCTTATCTAACTTTCCTCTTTCTTATCGACCTCTCGTCCTTCCTCTTCCTCTCAGCCTTTCTCCTTCTATCCATCTTTCCTGTGCCTTCTCCAACATTTTCCACCTCAGTTTCCTCTCTTCCATCATCAAGTCCTCATCCACTCCCACTCCCCACATTCTCCTAATCTCATATTCCTTCTCTAACAATGCCTCCCTTTCTTCTTCATCCCCCATTTCTACTATTAAAACCTTCCTCCCTTCTTCTCC